TGATGGAGGATAAGGCCATTCATGTCCATCTGAGGCAGGAGGCCTTAAAGGTAGACTGGGGCTCCAGCTCTCAGGACAGTCTCAGCAAAGTGGAGGTTCAAAGTCCTGCTGAGGTATCCATCCCTCAGCCATCTCTCACCTCCACTCCTCCTTCTCCTCCTTCTCCTCCTACCACAGCCAAGCCAACTCAACCCTCCCAGGTGGGACGGTTGTCTTCAAAGACTGATGAAGACAAGCAGCGACTGCGGTCGTTGTCCAGTCCTGAGAAAAGCCTAGACGATATCTTCAAACTGCTCAGCTCTGTTGACTGGCAAAAAAAAATAGATGGCTTAACATCTATCCAACATCTGGCAAGGAACCATCCAGACGCACTGAAGGCCACTCTTCTTAAGGTTTGTGCGGGTGTCAAGGAGGATGTTAAAAACCCGCACTCTATGGTGTCCTGCACCGCTATGGCCACTCTTGGTGAGATGTATACTCACCTCCAGAGGATCATGGATGACATGGTGGAGGACACAGGCTGCGCCCTGTTGCTGAAAGTGTCTGAGTCCAACACCTTCATCCAGCAGCAAGCCAATCAGGCGCTGGATGCCATGGTTCAAAACTGCAGCCCTGGCTGCACCATGAACGTGCTGCTGAATGCAGGGCTGACTCACCGCAGTGCTGCGGTTAGAATGAGTGCAGCTCAGCACCTCAGCCAGTTATGTGACATCCTTGGAGCCACACGGACCCTTACAGGTGGCAAGAACTTCACCAAACGCTTTCTTGTTGCTGTGAGCAAAATATGTATGGATGCTGCAGCGGATGTGAGGCGCCACGGACATGACATCGTCCAGAAGATTTCTACCCACAGCGCCTTCCAAAAGCAGTGGAAAGTGGTCGTCCCAGAGAAGGACAGACGCTTGCTGGAGAGATTCATGTAGAAGCTGGAAACAGCAAAACGGACCTGCAGCGAGGGACTGTAGTTACATCACTGCTTGTTAATGATAAATGTCAATAAATTTCTTGCATGAATTGAATGTGAGAAGTGAGAATTGTGTTATTTAAGATGTACATTCATTGCAATCCCTCCCAAATACTAAAAGGGAGACTGTAGTGGTGACATTTTCTTTGAGAATAAATCAACAAATGTGAATGTTCCTGGCAGTGTGTGACATTAGGTCATAGTTTAACTAAAGGTGTATCCCAGCATTGGATTACTGGTTTGCTTCCCATAATTTGCTCCTTAAATGTCCTCAAAAACCTGTTCTGCATTTACATTTCTTCCCTTGCATACTGATTAAACACACAGACAGACACACAAATGCATTAAATAATAGGTACAAGCACAAAGGACTTAATACACACAAAACCTTACTGTTTCCATGGTGATTATTGCAAACAGAAGGGAAGTCTCCTCACAGCCCAGTAGTGGTTTGGCCATCACACATCCATTCCTTACTGGCAGTGTTTATGTATGTCTCTGCCCGTCTGTCTCTTGGAAGTTGATTCACAGAGTTTGGGTCTCATGCAAGTAAAATTTCTGCGGATAAAGGTCAAGTAAAGTGTGTGTGTGTGGACTTCGTACGTATGTATCTCATACAGCTAATGCATGTCATGTGTGCATCTGTATGTTGGAGTTTGTTTTCTCATGCGTCCCTGCTGTGTGCGTGCTGCAGAACGTCGGAAATCTGTACCTTTGGCCGCTATTGCTGGCTGGCTTTTATGGGAGCATATGGGAAAGCACTCAACTCCCAACTTCCCTCAACACAACTACACACACACACACACACACACACACACACACACACATGAAAACACACACATGCAAGATGGGCTGATTGATGGAGAGAAAACCTGATAATCTGTCAGAGGTGGGGAAAATGTAATAATACTCATTCATTCATGCCTTCAGATTTGTTTTCTGACAAGTCTTGTTTTTAGCAGTTTAGAGGTGGGACCAAGTCATGGTTATGCAAGTCACAAGTAAGTCTTAAGACTTTGCACTCTAGTCCCATGTCAAGAAAAGCAAGCCTAGAGTCAAGTCCCAGGTTTAGATTGACAAATTATGAGTCAAGTCTCAAGTCCTGAACTTTGAGTTTTAAACAACTCAATTTAACAAGAGAATATGTTTAATTAATAAAAAATATGGATTATTTTTTAAATTTGTAATAATTTCTTGCAAGTTTGTTAAAAAGTTACTTAGCTATTAAGCTACATTAGCTATGCATTAGCTCGCTAGCTATGCATTACCTCCAGGATGTTGATACAAATTCAGCCAATCCCTGCAACTTTACTATTTTAATAGTACCGCAATTTTGACTATTTAAAACAGGTAAAATCTCATTTCACTGTAGAGCTGCACGCAGCGCATTGATTTGCTCTCTCTTTCTGTCTTTTATCATGACACTACTGCTGCAGGAGTGAGCTCAGCACCTGGAACCAAGTCACACACAATGACAGGGCTAACTGTTAGCATCACACGGCTAATGTTACCCTTTTTAGACGTTTAACAAAAGAGTTGAGCCATTTTGGTGTTGCTATTAGTTTATTGACAATGTTCAGCTCTGTGATGGTTGTGAGCTGCTGCTGCTATGTTAGCTTGTGCTAGCCGGGCACAGAGAGCAGGAGGAGAAAAACTCATCGTTGAGTCACTGCATCGTTACTTTTGCCATTTTTACTTGATCTTACAATTTCATTGCAAAAAAACACTTATAAACAGTGCAACATGCATCACAATTTTTAGAAAAGCTGCCGTAAAATCAGGCATTTTAGACTGCAACAAACTTAAAAACAGCCTGCAAAATTCTAGAGGGACTGGCTGTGTTCATATTAGCCTCATCTTGTGCAACTTCAAATGTCAAACGAAGTTAGAAGTTTCTGCATCTCTGTCTGTACTTTTTGACCTGCAAGTTTTGAATACTGCAATTCAGTTTTTGTTGACCATTCTGTAGTTTTGTACATGAACAAAATTATCTTTGGTGCATTTTTTCCAATGAGTGTTTGTAATGTTTGTTTTGTAATGCTAGTTCTTCATGGTTCTCTCCTGCAGTTTGACTGGATGCTTTCTGATTGGTTCAAAGAAGCGACTTGCTGGGGATGAATAGCATTAACATTAGTTGATTCAGGAAATGAACTGATAAATAACATACTTCTTATTCCTTGAGCTTGGGGAAAGGTATCAATTGTTTTTTAAGGCGAAAGGCGTAAGTCAAAGTGAAGTCACGAGTCACTTGTATCATTGCAAGTCTTTTTTGATTTTGTCAAGTTGAGTCTAAAGTCATCAAGTTTGTGACTCAAGTCTGACTCAGCTCAAATTAATGTGACTCGGGTCCACACCTCTGGCTTTTAGGTGCATCAAACCTCCTCTAACTTTTTAGAGTAGTTGCATAATAACCAACTTGTGTCCATATTATTAAATCTAGCTTGTTTTAACAAATACTTTGCTGCTCTGTCTCTGCTTTAATTCAGTTTCTCTGTACTTTCCCCACATCATGCACACACCAGTCCCCCTCCTCTTCTTCCTCCCTTTCCAACTCTCCTGACTGGATTTACTGGCCAGAGGAGAGGAAAATGTATGAATCAGTCCAAGGTTGCTCACTCCCAGGGAGAGGAAAAGCCAGAGAGAGCGAGGGAACAAGGGGAAAGAGGGAAAAAAAAGATGAAGAGTGAGCGAGAAAAAGGAGGAAGATGGAGAAGTAGTGAACAAACTTCGAGTCGGAGGACAGGGACCTCTTTGCCCTATAAATGATGATGTCAGCAGTCTGGGGCGACTGCTTGTTTAGTTTTTTTTGTATAGCACCTGGGTGTACTGTCGCTGCCAAATGTGTGTGTGTGTGTGTGTGTGTGTGTGTGTGTGAGTTTTTTACATGCATTTAGGGGATATGACCATTTGGCTGCACAGGTCATAAATCCTTTGATGAAGGAGGTTGGTCACACACACGCAACCCCCTGTCTCCCTCTCTTGCTTACACACACACACACACACACACACACACACACACAGTCATACTCACACACTGGGTTGGGCAGGGCAGGCCCGTGGTTAGCTATCCAGATGGTTTTAAGGTTAGTTAGAGACTACGCTCAAAGGTGCTGTTTGCAACCAAAGCAATGTGTGTGTATTTCTGTGTGTGTGTGTGTGCGCATCTTTAGTGTATGTTTAAAGGAACTCACTCACCCTGTGCTATTTTTGGCTTCTCTCTCTTTTTTTTAAATACTAATTTTACTGTCGATAGTAAAATGTTTACACACACACACAACCCTCGGTAAAGAAACTTCATTTTGTAACAATAGACTTTGAGGAGTTAAACCACAACGTGCATGTGTGCGTGTGTGTGAGAAAGAGAAATAGTGAAGGAGCGAGAGTGCTGGCATGTGTCAGACTGTAGCTGACTAACTTTGAGGTTCCCTGATTCATAAATAGTTGGATGTCTGGATATCATATGTTGTGTGCAGATTTACAAGTACAAGAGATCTCTACACTGCAGCGTGGTTTCTCTCCCTCTCTCTGTATGTGTGTGTTTCTCATTTGCTGCTTGCCCCCCACTCCCCACCCCCCCTTTTTTTTTTTTTTTTTTTTTTTTACTCTGCACAACTGTAATCAAAACCACAGACTTGAGGGCTGTGTACGACTTTCCCATTCGTCTTTCTTCTCTTTTTTCTTCTCTTTTTTTGTCTGCTGTTAAATTCAATATGTGAGCGTTCACTCCTGATTTCCCCAAGCTCTTTCATCTGCTTTCTTTTTGTCTCTTTTAATCAAGTTTCTGTCATTGTTTCTCTTAATATAATAAAAATATATATTAAGTAGAAAATTGATCAGCCCACAGTGATTATATTCCAACTCTGACTTTTGCAGAGGCTCTTTTATTTTTGGTCTAACTTACAGTGTCACTGCAAAATACTGTAAATCTCTATGACTATTTTTATTCTTTAGCCAAATTCCTCACCCACAGAGCAAGTCAGTCTTCTTTCTCTCGCTCTCATGAATGACCAGTGTGTTTCTCTTTCGCCTCCTGCAGGAGAAGGAGAAGAAGTACATGCTGCAGGTGGACAACCTGAAGCTGCGCGATGTGGAGAAAGGCTTCATGTCCAGCAAGCACATCTTTGCCCTCTTCAACACTGAACAGAGGTTTTCATTACTGTTACTATTACACATTAGTGATTACATGACAATGGAGCAAAATGTCATATTCAAGCACATTACTTCTCCACAAAATAAATAAACTATTACTGTGGCCTTAGCTCTATAGCCCACTTAAAGGGACAGTTCACCTCAAAATCAAAAGATTATTTTTTTTCTCTGATCTTTAGTGCTGTGTATCAATGTAAATTGTTTTGTGTCATTTGCTGATTGTTGGAGAAGTTGGCCCCAGAAATGTCTGCCTTCTCTCCAATATAAAGGAACTAGATGGCACTCAGCTTGTGGTGCTCAACGTGCCAAAAAACACATTTGAAAAGCTCAACAGCAATGTGTCTTTCCAGAAATCATGACCTGGTTACTCAAGATAATCCACAGACCTTGTTGTGAGCAGTTTCATGTTGGAACTATTTTCCTTCTACCAAACTACCCCCACCAACCATGTCACTATGCAGAAGGAGGCGTGCAACTACTGCTAGCTCACCTAGCACCACTGAGCTAGCTAATATTAGAGCTCAGTCGAAGAGGACTTCATTAATGTTTTTATCACCTGCTTTCACGAGCATGAGCCTCTTGCCCATGAGTAGATGCACACTTCCTTCTGCACGGGGATACAGCTGGCAGGTTGCATTATATACAAGAGAAGGCAGACATCTCTACGGCCGATATCTCCAACACTCTGCAACTCACACACACACACACAAAAAAAAATAAATTAATAAACAGCACTACAGACAGGAGGAAAAATACGTATTTTTGATTTGGGGTAAACTGTCCTTTTAAACTTTTAATGATTCATCCGATATACATGTAAAATTTCAAGAGATCTCATAAGTCATTAGATATTATACTTAAGTAAAAACAGCAACACTACACAAAAGTAAAAATCCTAACAAAAAATTGCATACGTTTGTGAGAACAAAATTTAGCATTACCCTATATATAGACATGGTGCTGCTGGCCTCTTGAGTTAAAGTTTTGTGTCACCGTGTCCTTGAACACATTTCATCAGTGTATGAGAGACTTGCTTTGCTTCTGCTCTCACAGAGGTTATCAGTTAACCGGAGGCCTCCCTTACACTCTCCCTCTGTGAAGCTTTCATTTTATAATGAGACTGCATCTGTGATACTTTGTCAGACCTACGGAGGACGCTCAAGGTGTCGGGGCTCTGACCTTTCAGCTGTATTACCATTTACTTTGTTATAACTCCTATTATTCTGTTTTATCACTTTATTAAATAACATGAAAGACAACTAGTGGTGAACTTCTGTCACCACAAAGTGCAGGGGTATTGGCAGCAAAATGTACTGTAGGGGAATAAAAAGGACAATATTTGCCTCTGAAATGTAGTGAGAATGTACCTCAGTAATTGAGTAAATGTACTTACCTACTTCCAGCTACTGGTATAAGAATATATAGCTGCTCTAGTGACAAATGTACCGTAAGGTATAAAAGAATAATATATGAAAGCATGAAGAACGTCATTCAACATTGTGTGTTTACAGGAATGTGTATAAGGACTACCGTCAGCTGGAGCTGGCCTGTGAGACTCAGGAAGACATTGATGCATGGAAGGCCTCCTTCCTCAGAGCCGGAGTTTATCCTGAACGGGTCACGGTAAGATTTCATCAAAGTATTTTTTTCATGCTAAGCATTGGAAATATATATAGTAAGATGAGAGTTGTTGGGATGTGTATTTGGAGTCTATTTAAATGTTGTCATGTCTCTCATGTGATACTGTATCTGTCCTCTTTCGATGTCTGTTTTCCTCATCGCTGTTTGACCTTATAGGAGAAAGAAGGAAAGGTATGTTACTTTGGTCTGCATCCTGCATTTCATCCTGTTTATGTCAACGTTTCACCATGAACAGTTATTTAGGAGGACTAATGTGTTTACCAGTCTCCCTTTATCTAACATGTTGTATTTGTTTCTCTAACTCTTTTGTGCTGAAGCTAAACTGAAGTTCTCCCTCATTCCTCTCCACAGAGTGATGGCGGTGACGAAAATGGCTCTGACAACATAATGCACAGCATGGACCCTCAGCTGGAGCGGCAGGTTGAGACCATTCGTAACCTGGTTGACTCCTACATGGCCATTGTCAACAAGACCGTCCGCGACTTGATGCCAAAGACCATCATGCACCTCATGATTAACAATGTGAGCTGGCCGTTTTCTAACTCTTTCAGATTCATATATGTTTCGAACATAGAGCTCCACAGAAACTTACAGAAACTTTTATCAAAAAATGCCATCTCATTTTCTCCAGACTAAGGAGTTCATCAACGCAGAGCTGCTGGCCCAGCTGTACTCGTGCGGCGACCAGAACACGCTGATGGAGGAGTCTCAGGAGCAAGCCATGCACCGCGATGAGATGCTGCGGATGTACCACGCCCTGCGGGAGGCCCTTAGCATCATTGGTGACATCAGCACATCCACGATAAGCACCGCCATGCCGCCTCCTGTGGATGACTCCTGGCTGCAGGTGCAACGGGGTGGCTCCGGAGGAAGGTAAGGGACGATGAGAGAAGACAGAAGACCTGCCCTAGAAGAAGAGCTTTTTTGGGAATGGTTGTTGGGAAGAGTTGGCTTTTTTTAACCCTCAAAGATATATATTTGTATCATGGTCACTTTTGAACTATCAAGTAAAATTTGAGCTATACATGCTACCATGATCAGGTTGGTTGTTCTAGCGCAGTGGTTTATGTCTCCTCTTTTCTCCACCAGGTCTCCAGCCACCAGTCCAACTCCAAACCGCAGGGCTCCACCGGGACCTCCAGCCCGCCCCGGCTCTCGTGGTCCTCCACCTGGACCTCCTCCTGCAGGAGGACCCCCAGTCCCGTCTCGCCCGGGGGCTTCTCCGGACCCTTACAGCGGGCCACCACCCACCGTGCCCTCCCGGCCTAACCGTGCACCCCCAAGTGTGCCCAGGTGAGTGAAACCATGAGAGGCCTTTCAAACAAACAGCTGTGTTTCAGTAGGTTATACAAGGACATTAGCATCCAAACCATAGTTTATAATATTATGACAAGCGATCCAAGCTGAAGTGTGGATACTCTCTGTTACTAAGGGGGATGTGAAGACACCTGGATGAGGGGATAAAGGAGGTAAATGAAAGTGGAGAGCTCTGGTTGTGATAGAGGGTAGATGGATAGATGGGTAGATTGATAGACATCCCTGAATAGATGGATAGACAGTGATATAACTCTTCATCAGTGGACTATTTTCCTCTTTTTTTCCTGGTTTGGGGAAACAGTCAACTCATTGGTACCTCTCTGCCACCACTTTGAACTTTCAACACGCTGTCAACCATCACTAACAATATCTAACCCTCCACTACTCGTCACTTACGCCCACCTCACCACTGTCCTCATCTGATTAGTGAAGAAATGTGTCAGTGACTGCGATGAACGTGAGAGGGTTTTCTTCTCTGTTCTCCATTATCTGTATCTGCCTTGTGCTTGCTTGTGTTCGTGAGCTAGCTAACTTTTCTTTTATCCTGGACCTGTTTGTTGTCAGAGTAGCAGCTTGCCTCTTTTAAAGTAGGAGACACTAACGTTGCTGAGCAAAGCTCTCACTGGCCTCGAAAATCAGATGCAGGTGTATCTCAAAATCTTCAAAAAAAAAAAAAAAAAAAAAAATTTTAAATCCTCCGCATTGAACTTGTGGTTTTTCATTTTGTATTCTGGTCTGTCCCAAGTGAGAGCTGAGCACATGTGACATTGGTCATTTCCTGCACTGTAACTGTTTGCACTCCTTTTCTCTCTTCCTCCTCTTCATCCCTCTTTTTCCTCACTACACCTCTGTCCCACACATGACTATGGTTCCTTCTGCAGAATCACTATCACTGACCAGTGAGGACTAACGTTTCTGGTACGTTGGGTACTGTCCGCCATCATCATCATCACCATCACCATCTTCACTTTCCTTCTTTCTCTTCCTCTCAGGAGGCATCCTTTCACTGCATGCCAATTTCTTTTTTCTCACTTTTCTTTTCTCTTCTCAGAGCGCTGCATGGGCAAACACACACCCAGATCGGAGGGTGTGTGTGTTTGCATCAGTGTTTGGGCTGAATTTGGAGTCGATGCTAATTTATTTATTGGAAGGGTGTCAGATTGTATTAATGTGTCCCGTGAAAGAAGGATTTTCTCAGATTACAGCAGCGACTGGTTACACAACGATTCAACTGTCCAAAACTTAAAGATTATTGTTGTTTTTGTGTCAGTGTTGTATGTGACGTATGTACGCCATGACATCCCACTCATCCCTAACTTTGTCTCTGGGTGTCAGATGTTTTCCTTCAGGGTCATGGCATCTGTTAGTATCACTGTTCAGTACGTAATTTAGCACTGCTGATGATTCTCAACATAACATTTTTCTAGGGAAATACCTAATAGTTTGACCGTTTTAAGCCTTAAAATTTTTTTAAAGGGACAGTTCACCCCAAAATCAAAAATACATATTTTTCCTCTTACCTGGTGGTGCTTTTTATCAGTCTAGATTGTTTTGATGTGAGTTGCTGGGTGCTGGAGATATTGGCTGTAGAGATGTCTGTCTTCTCTCCAATATAATGGAACTAGATGGCACTCAGCTTGTGGTGCTCAAAGTGTAAAAAAAAAATACATTTGAAAAACTCAACAGCAATGTCTCTTTCCCGAAATCATGACCTGGTTACTCAAGATCATCCATAGACCTTGTTGTGAGCAGTTTCATGTAGGAACTATTTTCTTTGTATGGAACTACACCTACCAATCGCATCACCATGCGGAAGGAAGTGTGCATCTACTCATGGATAAGAGGCTCATGCTCATGACAGCATGAGATGTAAACATTAATGCCGTCCTCCTCAGCTGAGCTGTGACATTAGCTAGCTGAGTTTTGCAGGGGTGAAGTTGTTTTGTAGACTCGGGAGTTAGCACCACCCTGGTTCCCTCAACAAAAAGCCAGTGGGATTTTTCCATTGCTTTTTTTTTATTGCACAAAGTAAGATATCTGGTAAACAAAAGTTTCTGATACTTGCGCATTTTGTTCAGCAAGACAAATGAACACCACTTTTATGTTTTTTGAAGCATAAATGCAATTGCTAGAAGTAAAATGCTAGTGCTAATGTAAGGCTACTAGCAAACTACACCAACAAGGCTGTAAAGCCTTTTTTTTTAGCATGATGAGGTTCTGTAGTCTCATTTAGCCACCTGTTAGCAACCATCTTTTTTTAAGACGTGTTAAGGCTTCAACATTTACGAGTGGGGAATTTACCGATGTACATATTTTATGTTGTAGGACAAAACCTGAAAGTCTCTCAAGCTTGTGTTAACCACAGAACGTATCTCAGGCATATAACAAAAAACCCATTTAAACAAACTCATTGACTTCAAGATGAGGGAACCAGAAGTGCAAAAATACCAACTCATTTTTGATAGAAAAAGAAAATAATTCCTTCATGAAACTGCTCACAGCAAGGTCTGTGGATTATCTTAAGTAACTGGATCATGATTTCTTGAAATAGACATTGCTGCTGAGTTTTTAAAATTTATTTATTTGTTTATTTTTTTTGCTTTGAGCACCACAAGCCGTGTGCCATTTAGTTCCATTATACTGGAGAAAAGGCAGACATCTCTACAGCCAATATCTCCAACACTCAGCAACTCACACCAAAACAATCTATACTGATAAATAGCACTATAGGTAAGAGGGAAAATATGTATTATTGAGTTTGGCGTGACTGTCCCTTTAAATGAAACAATCTGAAAGCTGAACATCATGCTTCAGCTGCACTGCTTGCAACTTACCGACATATAATGCAACCAGTGAAAAGGGGTCATGAGACATTGCTTTGACTTAATTTTTAAGGAATAGTTTGTTAATTTTGGGAAATACTCTTATTTGTCTCTTCTTTGAGAGATACCACTTTATCTGAACAGTAAATATGTAGCAGCTATTTAGCTTAGCTAAGCACAAAGACATGAATAGAGGGAAACAGCTAGCCTGGCTCTGTCCAAAGATAACTACATTACCATTTTGACTTGATACCCTCTGACTGTTAAGGCCTAAAGTCTTCAACAACTGTCTGTTTTCCCACCTTTATAATTTCAGGGTTTTCGCCTGTCTGTAGCAACACCATATGATTATTATGGAAATTACAATAACAGAGCCTCATAAATAATCTGTATAAGTGCATGCTACTGTAGACAACACTTGGACATGGGATAAAACTGCCTGCATTTGGCCTCGACTGCAAACATACAGTACCTGCATTGTGGCCATGCTGAGCCTGATATCTCTGTGATGTTAGTTGTGTTTTCGGGTTTCCTTCCATGTGTTTATGTCATGATGTAAGTGCGTCTCTGTGAGTGAAGGTACTGTATTTGTGTGTACGTGCGTGGTTAACACATGGGGGCCCTGAAATAATGACGGTGTAAGTATAAAACCCAAACTTGAATTTAAATGAAGACTTGCAACACGTTGAAAACACTAACCAAACCTGCTCCCGTCCTCTCTTCTGTGTGTGTTCCTGTGCGTTTGTGTGTCCCTGGCAGTCGGAGACCCCCACCTTCTCCAACCCACTAGACCTCTGAACTCCTCCCACCCTCCTTCCATCAGTCCGTCCCACCTCTGGATGACAGGCCACGGACAACAGTGCCACCTTGCTGTCGTTTTCTGCCACACCCGACCTGAGCCGGTTCCCTTCTCCTGCTCCTACTTCCCCCTTACAACACACACACAAACCGTACACCCCTCTGTTTCACACAGAGATGCAGAATACTTGAAACACACCTGCATGACTGACTTACAACCATGCTGCACCCTCAGAATTTAAATAAACTATGTAGAGTATATAAAGTCATTGATACAATTTTGAGTGTATGTGCACATGTGCATGCACACATGCTTACATAAATACACATATTTATATATATGTACAAGCAGATACATGCAGAATATCTGTTCCTGCTGTTAAACCTAAGGTTGGAGACATTTGCAAACTAAGCATGACACTTTGCCTGAGTATTAATTATACTCCAGCCTTTCTGACGGGTATTCTGGCTGCTGACTGATGTATTTTTTTCTCTTATCTCTTAGCATTTGTTTTATCAAATTTTCCTCACCTTGTATTGCCGGCCATGCTTGAAGAAAAAAAGTGTTTGATCAAGTGGCTTCAGAGCAGAGTTTTTAAAAATGGTAGCTACTTTTGGATAAAATTACACCAAACAGTATCAGAATGTCCACAGTAAATTCTTCAGGTCACTTATTTTGGTGACAATCATGGATGGATTACTTGGATGGAACGGGCCTACCGGGCACAGGCCCAGGGGCCCGAAGTGTTAAGGGCTCCCCTGGCCTTCACCAGCAAAATGGCTCTCAAATGAACACATACCAATCAGGAATGACCAGAAAGAGACACAAAAAGACCACAAACAGATTGCAAAGAGGCACAAATTAGGCAAAACAATGACAAAGAGACACAAAGTGACTTCAAGAGACACAAAACAACCACAAATAGACTAAAAACAACCTCAAAGAGACACAAAATGGCCACAAAGAGACACAAAATGAATTCAAACAGCCAAAAAACAACTTCAAAAAGACATAAAATTACTACAGAGACATACAGTGACCTCAGAGACACAAAACGACTTCAGACAAAAAACATTCTCAAAGAGACACAAAATGACCACAACGAGACATAAAAATGACCTCACAGAGACACAAAACCACAAAAAGATGCATAACAGGTACAAAGAGATGAAAAACAACAACAACAAAAAAGAGGCAAAACCATCACAAAGTCTATGTGTCTTGTTCCTATGTAGGAGAGGTAGTGGGGCCTTATATCTGTGCATATCTGTACCCATTGTCTTAAACCGGCTGGATACCAGAGACTTTGTTTTTTAAATTTTTATTAACAATCAGTGTTGTTATTAGAAATTATTCTCTAAAAGCGTCACTGAAGCTCTGCTCTCTGGAAGTCATGTGGAAAAATGCTTATTTTCCTCACAGCATCTCAGGCTACAAGGTGAATAAGAAACCCCTCCATCCTCCCTTTTAGCTCCTCTCCTTTTAAACTCACCCTGGTTGGTTTCCACCCATCACTTATGACACAAACTGCACCATCACTTACACAGCTCATGCAAGGGAAGAGGGCTTGAATCTTTCTTTCCCTACTTCTCCTCCTCTTTCTCCCCTTGCACTAGGACTGAAGGAGCGATCATCTGAGGGACCTGTTGTTGCCTCCAGAAGGCCTCACTGTCACTAAATTCCCCTGTGTTATAACTTCATTGTGTGATTGAATCATTAGAGAATAGTTCACATAACTGTGTCACAACCATCTCTCAACAAAACTGCCTTCACAGAAGCTATGCAACAAAAAAATGGTTTCCTGATTATTTTAGCTTGAATAGGTGCCTTGCATGGCACTCCTCTCCTCCGTACAAAAACATTGTCACTAAGTTATCTTATTAAGGCGGGATCTAAATAGAAAGTGCAATATATGAATTTTGATTCTGCTGTATGACAGCAGTCACACATTTTTAACCAAGAGCAAGGGAAACTGTGGCCTGAGACTGTTAGATAGCTCCTTATATGTCCTGTTCATTCAGAGGGAATGAGGTCCCTAATGGGAGAGGTTTAAAATGTTTGTAGTGTGTTTCTAAGTCAGCTTCGATCACATGATCCATCAAATCTTCGGATATACTGGCAGGAAAACATCTTATCCAGGTTCATGATCTGTAATTTATTTTCTGTTTCTTTGTCCCCTTCCTTTTTTCTTTCCTTCCTTCTCTCAGCGGTCATGGGGGTGAGTGAGAACATGAAAACAGCCACAGTCTATGCATAAAACTATCCAAACACTCCTCCTGTTTCACCCTCACATCGCTGTCTGAAGGCCTGTGAGTTCAACCTATCCTTTCACTTGTGTTGCCACCGAACTCTGCCATCAGTGTGATGTGTTGTATTTTGACCCCGAACAAAAGTAACCAACCCACCAGCCATAAAAACCCACCTCTGTACCTCAACTGATGTCATTTTAGCCATTTAAAAACCACCTGAGAAACTTCCCTTGTACATCTTAGTGCTCCACGACTGCAAGGCAAACACAACAAAGCATATTCTACTTATTATTTAACAGTAAATAGTTTATTATGGACATATCTTAATGTGTTATTATGTATATGTGTGGTGCATCTTATGGGACTTGTACTTCCACTGTCTAGAGAATTTAGTCTGCTGAATATTTAAATTATTATGAATAAATGAGTATGTGTATAAGGAAATAATATTTGAAAAACTTATAAAAATGTGTATTGCAGTGATGTATATGGATGTTGGCAGGTTGTTTGATACTTTAGCTTGTAGCAGAGAGGTTTTTTTTTTTGTTTGTTTTCTTGTTTCTCTCTGTGTGTACAAGAGCAGAACGGGACAGTGTGAATGTGTGAACTCCTGCAGCAGCCAGGTCCTGCATCTTGTTTAAACTGCTGTGGATGGAAAGACGATTTTACCCTGCAGGGCTTCTGTGCTTTGTCAACACATTAAAAAACCTCAGTGTATTGAGTGAAGTTTCTTCTTTGTCTTTTTTTTTTTATCTTTATACTCTCATATATAATAACACCAAGAGTCTAAAGCCACGCCGTCGCTCTGTGAGGCTGTACTTATGTTGGGAAGGTTACATTTGAAATGCAATAGATAACAGATTACAATTCACCCTGTTTGTAATGTAACTATTGTAATAACTTCATTAAAATAATGTTACCCATTAACTTAAACACTTAACTAAAGTATTTGGAAATCAATGGAAATCAGTTTTATTAAGTCATGGAGACACTGAAGTAGTGGAGGGTATACACCGGTATACAGGGTATACCCACCTGTTTTTCTGGTTGTTTACAGTATACCTACCTATCAGCCACTGGAATATATGAGAGTATACCCACTTCTTTCTCGGCAACCTACCCATCCACCTAATGGTGCACCCACCTCATCGACTACCACTCCACCACTGCATGGAGGGACTTGTTTGGAGTAAAAAGATTTTTTTCATTACCCACAATTAAGCATCCAAAAAGTCAAAGATAAAATGGCAACATTTCAGGAGATTGTGTCTGCAGAATATGGGTTTGAAATGGATCTACCAAAATCAGAAGAAAGCTAGAATTACCACCTCATGGTTGTACGCCAAACCAGTCAAGTTGCAGATTCAGCTTACATTCCTGTTTGTGAAAATATGGATGCTTTACACACATCTTCACCCTGGCAGCACAGGAGATCCATACCAGTGGTTCCCAACTCATACAGCCACGGGGTCCAGATTTCTCCTTGGTCATTAGTTCAAGGTCCACACAGTTCAATATATTCAGCATCATATTTACATTTGGTTGAGCCATCAAGCTAGTTTGTTGTCTCTGTCAAGTAGCTGTCCATTAGTCACTCACTCTACAGCAGGAAATGGCACTTCAAAATAAAAGCTCTGTGTCGCAAATTCACTGTACTTCAAAATGACGTGTTTTTCCACAAACTTGACATGTTTGCGAGTCACTTGCAGTCCTTTCAGAATGAACCCGCAACCCACTTTTGGACCGTAACCCACCAGTTGGGAACCACTGATCTGTACAATCAGTGCAGTTTAAAGATTAGTGACACCAATTCAGTATCTGACCAAGTCTCCCAGCTGACACTGAATAATGCACACATTGAAGTTGACCTTTTTGATAAAAATTATAATATAAATCATCACTTCATCATTTTATCCTATTGTTCATTTGCATGAAATTTTGTCATAATAATGTATAAATTGAGTTATGGTGGAAAAAGAAAATATGACTTCCTATCACCAAATTCTAATTAGTTCATTCTTGACAACCTTCAAAGTTAATGCCTCCAGCCATGGCTATTGCCCACATATATAGGCATATAAATGTGGCCTAAATGTGAGCTGATCCTTGGGCTGATTTTCAGTTTCTAAGAGTTTGATATTTATTTTCATCATGCGTAAGCAAAGGAAAGGTCCTTTTGTCACAGTAGAAAAAGCACAGATTTGAATAATAAAATAAATGATGGCTGAGCCACTTCAGTGACTGTGCATGCTGTCTCAACGTCACATGGAGCCATCGTTAATATTATTAACAAAACTTGTGCTTCTTTGACTTTGACAAGTTAAACTGCCTGCTGTATATTTACTTGCAAAGTTCAGAATATCAAAATGCTAAAGAAGTCGAGACACGTGTTCAAGTTGCTCAATCAGTTTTATTCAGGAGAAGGAGAGAAAATATTACTCAAGGAAAAAAAAACAAATCAGAAAGCTTCTGTCAGAAGCAGCCCTCGAACAAAATCAGTCCTCTGAATGATCCTTCATTTCCATCCAACGGTCACTTCTATTTTACATTAAAACTGATTAGTTGAGTTACTAAGTTATTCCAAATAAATAGAATATTTTCTTACTTTTTTTAGTCAATCTTTGTATTAAATCACAGCCAGTCAGTAACCACCAACACCTCGTCTCTGAACTAACCTCCAGACACACAGCCCGCGCTGCCAGCAAACATGGCAGAGCAGCTTTTTCCCCCACACACCAGGCATAATGAATATACAATATGTTACACAGTTACAGTATATACACCACCTCTTTTACAGTAAGGACAATAAATGCTTCCTCATTGCTATTTGTTTCAATCACGCATAACATATTTAACAGTGAATTAGAAAGCATGGGAAGTAATTTTATCCACATTGTTTTATTTTACAAGCCCCAAAACGACACTAAAAGGATTTTACTGTAAATCTACCTCTTGGTCTGACCAAAAACAAAATGAAGGGAAGAAAAAAATAATATTTTGTGGCAAAGGAAAGTGACAGAATGCTAAGTGAGGAATTTTAAAAATCAAGAATGATTAAGTAGATTAATCGAAAACCACCTGCTACTAACAAAGTGCTGTGGTTTAGGGTAAACGCAGCGCTCTTCACGTTGCCTGTAAAAAACACCAAGTATATATGGCCTCCACGTATTACATTTAGCTTCCTATAATAGGCTTAAAATACCAGAATTTGCACCAACACTTTCCGTCCTGTTGCTTCTAGTGATAAATATCAAGTGTGCAATTTAATAACTGAACAAATGTGTCCTCTACCTCAAAGCAGACACAACAAAGAGGATCTTACATTTCAAAGACATCCGACTAAGAGGAAAGAAATGCCTCCAAAAGTACTCAGTGGGATATTTGGATGAATTGCAGTGAGACCCTCATGTCTTTGCATATTAAAATCATGGAAAGACTCTAAAAAACAGACGCCTCTGCCATGATTTGACCTGAAATGTAAAAAAAAGGTTAGCTGTGAAAGCGTAGCTCTTGGTTATTACTTCTATAGTGAATATATCAATCACTTCATCCTCCAATCTACATCTGTGAATATGAGCATCTCTCACTTAAAGCTAGCATGCGATGAGTCAGTCCTTATGTTGGGGTATTACTAAAGTCCTTGTTTCCAATGCCCAAAGGAGATTAACTCAAGTGTTGCCGATACAAGAGTTACAAATTTGACTAGTTTCTTCAAATTCTGATTGGTCCCACACTTTTGGGATTAACATCCCGACCTCTGGAAGTGAGCAATCTCATTAATTTAAGCTTCCACTCATATTTACATCATCCTCCGAGTGCAACACCGCACACACACTCTCTCACGCACACACACAGCTTCAATTAAATTTATATGCTTCAAGTGGAACCCTCAGCTTAAGAGCGTGGCTTCATTGGATCCCCCTTTTTTCCCTCTGCAGATATCATTAAACCAGCTAAGAGGCTCCATGGCAGAAACTGTCCAACCCGCCACAGAGGACACACAGAGCAGAATGAGAAGCTTTGTACAGTTTTAGTGCAATCATACTTATATAATCTGATAGAACTCTACAAAAAAAGTACAACAGATGCAACTTGGGTTGAAGAGGAAACACAAGCATCATTCACACCGTCCAGTTGTAAAGGATGTGCGTTAATTCATTTTTGATATGTGGAACTACAAGCAAACGTAACAGAGAAGAACAGGCTCTAATTAATAGTGTCGGTTTGTTTATAAACTTAAAGACCCCATGAGATGGATGTTTGGGCTCAGTTATGGAAGAGCAGCTCTGATGAAGACAGAATTATATTTTCATTACTTCAGTGATGGGAGAGATGAACTGAGTTTGCGTTGAGGCTGGCCCATTAACTGTATATAAAGCTGGATGACATCAAAGCTCCCAAAAAGTAAAGCCAACACATCTTAATTGCCCTCTGGTGGCTGGCTGCAGTATAGGTCATAAACCCTGCTTCCTCCATGTTAATGGATGGGACCAAGTCACCAGGAAAAACACCGGGCTTTGAAGCAAATTTTACATAATGGCAAAAAGTGGTATTACCCATAGATTTACATTGTGAAAGTGGATACATTTTTTTGAGCTTCACAACCCCTGTGAAATGGCTTGTTTCACTATCAGCATCTGATTCCAGTCACATAATGAAAGACTGCTCTGGTTTCAAAATGATGTCACCAGGGCAAGATGGTAGCAGCCACATCCTGGATATTTTAGCTATATTTTTGTTTTGTGGAAACACGTACATCTTAACATACAGTCTATGGGTCAGCCAAATGTCTCAGAGCACCTGTGTACAGGATATTACAAGAAGAAAGAGGAGATGTGAGTGTAGATGTAGAGATTTTAACTTCCCTGTAACGTCCTCCAGTCACTGCACATTAGTATCTATCACGCTAATGGTAAAGATAAAGTAGAGCAATTTGCAGAAAACAATAATGTGGAAAGCAGCCTCTAACACAGCACCCCAAGTGTTGGTATTTATCTTAAGATGACCTTCTCCTCGGTTTCAGCACCTACTGAGAAAATAATGCCTCATAACTCTGATTGTTTTCGTCTTCATGGGGTCTTTAAATTGCATCTATCCCCTCAATGACTTCAGAGACCACCTTTTCATAAGGGCGGTGACTTCTCCCAGTCTAACAGGATGTTTGACATCACAACACGAACAGTTCACATATATTAACACTTTGCACTGTACAAACATAAGACTCATTTTCAGTGTTTGGGAGGAAAAAAGACAACGTGGAGAAAAGGTTGTTTCAAGGAACAGTACCACTCTGCAATACCTGCCTCCATCTTCCTGAACCTCATCGTGTGACTAGCAAGCTCTTGACTTCGAAACAGAACAGCGCCTTCACTTCAAAAGCTATTATGTGCACCTGGTTTCTTTATTTCACTTTAACTTACATCTCCCTCTGCATCTCATCTCCTCACGCACCCTTTCACCTTCATCAGTTCTCCTCACATTACACAGACATATGGGTAAATATTCGGGTTACTACATTCAAACGTGATGCTCTTTTTGGCATTTTTTTTTTTTTTACAGTGAACTGTGTAAAACTGAGATTTGCACTGAAATTAAGTTGCACACAAACAGGCTGCTATTTTTTTCAACAGCTTTGAAGTACTGTATCAGCAAGGGGAGAGAATATACAGCCCCTTTATTGCACTTTTGTGTAGAATGGGAGACAAGAGGGGATTAAAAATGGGGGTAATGAGAATAATCAGGTTGCACTAAAGAATACTGATTATCTCTCTGGGAAGAGCATCATAGACAAAAAAAACATAAAACAACAAAGGGAAAACACTCTTTCTAACCATGCACACATTAGTGCCAGCACACAGAACAGAGCGGGGCGTTTTAATGTAACTGGGTCAAAGACATTCACATATCTGTGACCAGTGTTGCAGGGTGTCATATTTCTTTTGAAGTGTTTGTGAATATGATCAACAATCTACAAACACGGTATACTGTGGTGTTTGATATTTCCCAGACTTCAAGACAGGTCATATATCTCTCTCTCACACACACACACACATACACACACACCTCACTCACACCACCAGGATCTTGACTTCGTCCTGTTCATCAGGCCGGTAGAAGAAGGGGATACAGGGGTTCTCCCCGAGGAATGGAGGTGATCTTAGCGCTCCCTGGGGGTTCTGGATCTCGTGGAGCAGCTGCATAATCTGCTGGGCTGTGCCGTCCTCTTTGGGTGCCAGGGGCTTGGAGTCAGTCTGGGCTGACGCGCTCGACAGTGTCTGGGATGACGAGGCTTCCAGGCCTGTGGTGGGCTCTGACAGAGGGATGACCTCCATGGCTTCTGCAGCAGAGAAAGGAAAGGAGAGCAGTATGATGACGTTATATTGAATATAAAAAGGCGTACTTTAAGGACTTCTATTCTTAAAATGAGAGCAAGTGTTATTATAGGAGAGGGCACACGTCATCCCCTGACCATCCTTTGTACACAGAGATCAGTGTGTGAGTGTTTTTGCAGTAACTCACAAGACTACTGGTTGTGCCTACCTGCTCCACTGAAAGCATTAAGCTCTGTATGTGCGTGTGCTTGGTGCTCTGCGTGAGTGTGATCCTCCCCAACAGGAAGCAGGTCTGGGTTCACTGTGCCCGTGCCAGCGACAGCTCCTGTGTAACGGTTGTACCAGTCGTTCCTCTCGGCCACCAGCCTCATCACCAGATCCTGAAGCTCTGCCAGCTTCGCCTGATGGACAATGCAGAGACAAAAGCAGCGACAGAAAACTGAGCAAAAATCATGACAAACATGTTATGCAACTACACTGGACGACATTGATGGTTATTTGAAAAATAAAAGGCGCTATACAGTACTTTCATCTCCTCCTTGTCCTGAGCCAGCATGCTGATGTACTGCTCCTTCTCCTGGTGTTTCTGCTTCATGATGGCCCGCTGACTCTGGTACAGCGCGATGTACTCCCCTGGAGAGACAAACACAGAACATGGTACCAGAAATTAGAATTGTGATGAAAAGTTTTTCTATATTTAACAAAAATATCCTTCTGCCTCACCTATAGTGTCGGTCTCTCCAGACAGCTGGATACAGCGGTGCTCCAGCTCCTCCACCCTCTCCTTCAGGTCAGCTTTCTCTTGCATGAGGGAGGTGAAACGCTGCTGAAGCTTCTCCATGGCAGCTTGCAGGGCCTGATGAACTTCCACCGGCACTCCTCCTTCTGGGAAACAGATCATTAAGTACACAGCTGGTTTAGATAACGCACCCTTATGCTTACCATATGTTTTTTATGCATATAAATAGAAATCATTACAGAATATAATCAGGCTTGATTGTATTCGTAAGAACTTAGTCATGCACACTCAATGTGCTGGCACAAAAATAAACCATCTAGTCATCCTCACCTGAATGCTCATGACTGTGTTCACAGTGACTATGTTGGTCCTGAGTGTGATCGTGCTCGTGATGATGGTCATGAACAGGTTTGTGGCTGTGGTTTTGGTGCTCAAGGCTGAGGGCCAGAGTGGTCTGGTGCCTGGCTGCCATATGGAGCCTGTGCTCCTCCTCCAGTTGCCTTCTGGCCTCGTCCCTCTCCGCCTCCAACTCGGCCAAAGCTCCACGAATAAACTCCTCCTGCAGAAGGGACAGAGAGTGGTGGTGAGGATGGTGGGAGGGAGCGGATGGGTAGGGTCAATTGAGGGCAATGCCAAACCTTTGATTCATAACAAGTCGTAAACTAATCTCACATCACAGAGGTCTCGTCATTTGTCGCTTATTAAAAAAGTCATGCTGTCATAGCACTGTTCGTTTTGCATTAATGTCAACTTCTAACTTGATTTGAGCCTTCATGATGTATAACAAAATGTGAAGCAAAAGAAATCAACAAAGCCTTTAAGTATATCTTAACAAGTAGTTTTGGGGGAAGAACATTTATCACCCTCCTCACCATCTCCTTCTGGCTTTCAAAGTCTTCTGGGATAACTATGGAGGCCGACTTCTGTGGGCTCTCCTGCAGGGACTGGCTTTCCACTCCATCGCCTAAGTGACATAATGACAAATGAAAACTATTAACAGGCTTTAACAGAGATTTTTTCCCATTTTCTTAACTCAGTGGTCTTTGACTGTGACACCTTTCCTTATGGGTGGTGCAAGACTACTGCTGCTCTTACTTTCCATGCCTGTAGGTGGCACGGGTTAGACTGGAACTGCAGGTCAGACAATGCTGGTGCTGCAGCTCTGCTTTGAGATGGGTCTCAGATGCTTTGGATCAACGGCACTGTCCTTGTTTCTTGTGACAGACTACAGTTTTCAGTTTACTAGGTTTAACTTATTCCAAATTAAACAATGTAAAATAGTGGCCACAAATCTTTGCAAGTAAACTATTAATTCAAAATCAGGTATGAGAACAAAAAAAGTACACACATACAAGTAATGGACAAATCTTACCTTGGTCTCTGGATGACGTAGCAAGAACTGAGCTGTTGAGCAGCTCCTTCACCTCGGCCTTCAGCTGCTCATTGTCTTTGACTAACATCTCCAAATGCTCCTGTAGGGGGAGACAGAGAGTCAATCAAAACAAACTGAGTCCAGACTGCAGTCTCAACATATTGTATTAGGTGATGAAAAAACACAAGTGCATTCCGTTTACTGCACTCCACAAGGCTTTATTCCTAAAATACACACCTGTGCTTGCTTGAGCTGATTGTGACTGATCTCCAGTTGCACACGGCCCTGGCTTTCATCGTGCTGCAGCCTGTCCATGAGCTGGAGCTGCTGCAGATACTGGTGATGGATCTGTTCCCGCTCTGAGGCCAGGGCCTGGTAGCCAGCGCAATACTGTTGCAGGTGGGCCATGACCTGGTCCCTCTGCTCAATCACACCCTGAGTTTCTGTACTTTTCAGTTCCATCTAAAGCCAAGGGAACAAAGAGGAAAATTAATACCATGACCATATATTGTTCTTGTGTGTTAATGCACTGTGTGTATGGCTAACAAGTATAGAATTAATACTAAAAACATACAAGAGTCCACAAGATATAGTGAACACATGGAAGACGCCTCCTATTGTGTTTGTCACAGAGAGGTATTTTTGTGTATGACTATACCTGCTCCTTGACGTTGTGCAATTCCTCTTGAAGTTCACCCATCCTGCGAGCCAGCTCCTTCTTCACATGTTGCTCTGACTGAATGGCAGTGGTCAGCTCCATGTTCTCATTAGTCTATTCGAATAGAGGAGTAACAGGAACCGGGGCTTTAAGACAGAAGTCTCACACCTTCTACTTGCTATTAATGTACTTTCCAAATTTGTTAAAACTTTGTCCACTTATTGCTGAAGAGACATGAATACAACCTGAGAAAAATACCCAAATATTACAGACACAAAACATAAATTCAGACATGATAGCTACAAAACTGTACCAAACTGGGACAGAAACAAAAAAATCAACTAAATACATAACAGCTCTTTCAAAATGTGTCATTACAAGAAGACAGATGGACGACTAGATTATCAGCCTCACCAGTTTGACAAAACCATTCTGTAGCTCAGCCAGCTGGTCCTTCAGTGTACGGTTCTGGGTGAGAGCGCGGCTAATAGTAGCCTTGTCCGACTGAACCTCCTCCAACATGCGCCGGCGGTCCTCCTCTTCCTGGGCTTTGCTCTCCACCTGCCGCTCCATCTCCCCCAGACGCGTCTCCTGCTCTGCACACAGCCGGCTCAGCTGCTCGTTATCCCGCAGCTAGGGGGGAAATATTACAGACATTTATTATAAGAACTTTCAAACCTCAGAGTACTAATATGCTTTCAACATTATGCAAAGAACAAATCAATTGGTGTAGCTTTCCATTATGACACTGTATCTAATTCCTGACATTAACAAAACATGAGCTGGACTTCAGCTGCTTAACCATATGTCAATAAATGGGTACCTGTGCCTGGTACTGTGCAGTAAGAGCGTCTTTCTCCTGCTGTAGTGTGTTGAGAGCCTCCTGCAGAGCCACCTCACTCTCTGATGGCCCTGAGGACTGAGGCTCTACAACATCCCGAGCCTCCCTCTCCTGGGACAACAACGCTGCAGGAGAAGAAGAAAAATGTAATATTTTTGCTACAGAAAAATAAACAAGACTGTGGAAGCTGTGTCACCAGTGTGTGCCCAGTATTTAGAATGCTTCTGTTCATATATACTAAAGCTTCTAAGATAATGTTAAATATTACCATTAACAGAAAATATGTGTTTGTTTTAAAACTTTTAAATTACGTGAATTGTGAAGTCTTGCACCAATGTTTATCCTACTATTTAGGGAAAAAATGAAGCATACTGATTGAATTACAGCCTTTAAATTACAAATATTTGGCAAGTAATTCAACACTTGTTGACAACAGTGTCAAACATTAGTCTGTAGGCACTAAAACCTCAAAAAAAAACAAAATTAGCCAAGACCAGAACCGTCTTGGTTAGTCTTTCCACTTTTCCAACAAACATAAACTCTGGTTTGGCCAAAATAAAGCCTTATTTCACTGGATTGATAAAAACATGCCAGTTCCACATGCTGTTTCTCATTGCTGTCTCTCTGCTTTTGCTGGCCAGCTTTTTACTAGTCCTGTAACGTTATCCCCACCACTCACAGTCGCCATCTTTCTCAGCTCAGCTGCCTAGTCCACCAGTAGAGACTCTGGCAGTGTGTGCTGTGTACTACAAAACATGGCTCCAATACAGCATCTCTGTATCAGTTTAATACACAGAGGAGCGTTTGAAGCTATTGCAAATCATACCTTCAGGATTTCTAAATAACTTGGTATACTGAAATACCTTGATATCACAAACATAAACACATATACATACATATACATTGATACATTGATTGAAAGATAATAGGAGCCCATTCCTTAATCCTCCTGCGGTCAGGCAATTGGACGGCTTATTTACCAAAGGTAAATAGGCAGCTCAAGGAAGGAGCTGCAGAAGAGCCAGAAAAAGAAGGAAACAGTAGATAAGGACTGTGTAAAACTCTTACCTGCAGCATTTTTTAGCTCTGTGATGCTGGCTTCCAGTTCTTGGACTCGGTTGATGTTTCTGTCCCTCTCCTCTGCAACTAAAGACACCTGCACAAACAGAGATAAATCAATTTGTTCAATACCAAAATAAATACAAAAACAACAAAGAACAGCTTTATTTTGAAAGCTAAAGTCACCCATATGTCTTTGTTGATGTTACTGTAAAGTTTACCTGTGTTAGCAGCTGTTCTGTTTTGTCCTTCCATACACGACCCTCCGTCTGGATCTGCTCTGCATAGCAGTCCCTCTCCATCTGCAGCTGGGACATTGACTCCATCAGCTACAACATAAGAAACATAAAGGGGAAAATGCCATTAACAAAATAAGACTTTCAGGTTGTAAGAGGTTAACAGGCAGGAGCTCTGGCATAAATTTAATTTTTAAATTATAAGAAAAGTTAATCTGCAACTTTTAAGTTTCAAATAATCGAAAATGGAAATGAAGAGGAAAAGTTGGAAAGGTTTTTTTTGCAGTCCAAATTCCATTTCTGTTGCATTAAGTGAGGCATAATCTTCACAGACAGCTGTTTAAATTACACAAATATGCCGCAAACAACTGTAAGAGACAGTTCCTTGTATACAGACCTGGTGATTGTGTGCCTCCAACTGCTGCTTCTCTCCCAGCAGCAACTGGACCTGTTGGTTGGCACTGGTGGGATCTGACTGACTGGAGTACTGGAGTGAAACAGAAAGGCCAAATATTGTAATGAAATGCAGGCAACACATGAAAATATGACATTTGGCTGCATAGTCGACAAAATTCAGGAATCTTGATTGAAAATGATCCCAAACATTTTTCTTTTGTCGCAGACTTGTTGTAGAGTTTGTCCAAACCCCCAGTCATTGTTAAGAGAAAGATCAGTATATATGTGTGTGTACTGTGAAATGCTTTGCATGTGTTAATGCACCTGCTGCAACATGAGGTCCGCTATCTCGAGCCTCTTGCGAAGATCCTCCACCTCCAGCCTTAGTGCTCCATTCTCCTGCGTACTCAGCTTGATCTGCTCTGACATCTCGGAGCTCTGCTGCTTCGACTCCTCAGTCAAATTGCTGCAAACACAAACACATGCAGAGATTGACCATCTAACCTGCCAGGCTCTAGTAGGACTTAAGAGATTTGCTCATGCCATCTGTTGCATTACATACAATTTCTTGAACTCTAAAAGCCATTATTAATGTCAAAGTGATTCTTAGCAAATCTTCTGCTGTGGAAATACATCCCCATTGTGTAAGCTCGGGTAAAGTGACTTACTTTAGTCTAAACACCTCTAGCCTCAGACTGTCTCTCTCCTTTTCAAACTCTTTGTTTTGCTGGAGACAAAAAGGAAAACATCACATTCATAGAGAGTTATGTAAGTCATTATGTTAAATATTGCATCTGCGTTACACTTTTCTCAGTAAATTCTGTTCACGAGGAGCCATTACTGCAAACTTTGTTACCTTTTCAAACATTTTCTGCTGTGTTGAGACAGACGACAGTGTTCTCTCGAGCTCTGACACTCTCTGCTTTGTTGCCTGCAGACGGTTATTCAACTCCTCTGCTTCAGCTACACACACACAAAGAGAGAGACACACAAACAAACTGTTCACTAATGTCTTGCCAAAATGAGAAGTTTTTATTCAAGTGCATGTACGGTGGATTATATGACACACACACCTGCTTTCTGCCGTGCAGCCTGTTGTGTGTATTGTAGTGCTGTTTGTAGCTCTGATTTGTCTGATACTAGTATGCCAATGGTCTGGATGTGAACCTTGGGAGAGGACAGACAAACAGAGATCAGAGCTTTTCATGACACTGACAACATATGTCAACTGATTTAAGCCCCTTATTAAAGCACAGCATTAAATAAATACAACTCTTTAAGCCCTATACATGGTGCTTCAGCCTTTCTACACAGACCAAATAATTTATTCCCGTCAGGGTGAGGAATCGGGAAGTGTTGGAATAAGGAGGGTGTGTTCTTGGATCACCTATCTATCTATTTTGTATCAGGGTGACACCTTACATGGCAGTACTGCTATGACACAGTTCAGGATGTCTAAAAATGAAACCATCAGACGAATTAATTAATGTGTTTGGGTAAGTTACCTGTAATTGCTCCCGCATGGCTCCCTGCTCTTTTGAAAATCTCTCTTCAAATTCTTTTCGCTCCTGAGGAAAGCAAAATACCAACGTTCATGAATGACCAGGAAGGAAGCAAAAATTCAGCAGACTGGAAAAATGGAGACAAGAATGAACAGACAGAGAGGGTAAAGAAAACTGTTTACCTTTTGTAGCTGATCTGAGAGCCCCTGAGATTGCTGTGCCTGCCAGAGCAACAGGATATACGTTTAAGTTTGGGAAAGATCAACATTTCTTTCATCACCCCAGCAGCAATTCTAGCTCTTTAAAACAACCAAAATTCTGGCACAAAAGCCCTCATCTGCATGCCAGACAGGACAGGGACAGCACAAAGTATTGAAATAATAAACCTGCTCTGTTATCCATGTTATGTTAACCTGTAAGCTTTGAGTTTACTGCTGTTAGTGTGCTACAATTAAATATCTACCATCAAGTTATGACAGCTCTGACTAAATGTTTCCAAATTGCTCTCTATGCAGTGGTTACACGTCATAAAAAAATGTATTTTAGTCAAAGAAAATAACATGAAAACCATGCATGACTTCTTCCAGTGTGTGGTTACTCAAGATGACATGCAGAATGCATGAAGTACATGCACTGATGTGGTAACTGAGGGATGGCTACCAAAGGGTTACTCCAGTCACACAAATGTGCACACACAAATACACACAGCTTCTTACCAGCTGGTTTAGCTGGGTATTTAGCTGAGAGTTTGCTAGGTTGCTGGACTCCAGGGCGGCTGCCAGCTCCTGGTTCCGACCCTACCACGTGCACACATGCATACGGGAGAAGAGGGAAATAAAAAAAATAATAATTTTTTAAAAAGGAGAGAGAGATAAAGTGCAGTGGCAAAAGTCAAACAAAGAGGAAAACACTGTAATGTGAATTATTAACATGGAGGCAAACAATGGCACTTTAAATCTTAAATGATGACATGTGAAGCAAATAATTAAAATGTATTATTAAATAGTTGGTGGTTGTTGAACAAATTTATAGAGAAGTTTTAGGTGGCAGTGTGTTTCTCTACTACACCAAAGAGATCAAAACTGGTAATATTTGCGGGGATGCCAATCAATTTGCAAATGTTTTGTTGCTTTGTCATTTTTTTTCTGTTCAGCCATCTAATCTGCCATAACTTAATATATCAATCATCCATCAATCCAGCTAGACATTATATCTTTTACACATTTTCAGTAAAAACTTAACGTGCAACGTCACCCTTACAGCTTTGGAGTAAACTATAAACCAACTATCTAAAATTTTGTAGGATGCAATCATGATAAAACACCTACATTGTTAGCTTGCACTGTTGCCTCCTGTTATTGTAAATTTAAACTCAAATCTCGCTAGATGTGATCTACCTTGTCTGGTTAATCAAATTACACAGCGAGAAAGGTCACCCACACACGACACACTGAGTTTTAGGTAGACTGCACTACCAGTGCTGCAAACGTGAGGCTGTGAGACATACCATTTTAGACAGCAAGTATAATATCCTATCACAAATAATAAAGTGTTGCCAGAGAAAACACAATCTGGGCACAGTATGTGTTGATACCACATTGTGCTTCACCTTAGTCAGGGGCCTGTGAATGATATGAGATGATACCAGTAAATATCTTCATTGTCCTTTTCTTGGCTGTTTAGTATGGTCTTCCTGCTGCTTGGCCACTAGCAGTATTTCAACATTTAAGAGGGGGATGTGCTAGGATGGAAATGGTGACACAGGGGTGCCAAGGGAATTTCAAAATAAAGGCATATCTTAAGGTGAAGATATATATCAATGTTTTCACTTTGCATCAACATCATCACAATCATTTCAGATCTTTTTATCATCACACCCCTACGTATTATGTGGCTGCCACTTAACTGTAGATACAACACACTATCATGGCCTGACCATGAACTGACTGACTTCTAGCTTGGGTTTTCATTTCACAGAAAACAATAGACTTCTATCTTACCTCCAGCTCTCTCTCACCAACAGAAGGTGCACTGTCCCCATTCACATACGCAGTGGATGACTGAAATGACACAGATGAGCATATTAAAGCACTTCCAACACAGAAAATCAATCGTGTGTCAAGTTTATAAGCCTCGACAGTGAATATACCAGCATCACTTTTTTTTTTTTAATGTATAACACTGTTTCTGTAGATGACCCGTTTCTATGAGCTTAAAGCTGAACTGGATGCATTGCAGATGGACAATCTGTTAAGTCAGCAGTGGTAACACCTGCATTCCACCACCATGTACGGCAACAATACCTCAATATTTTTGCATTATGAAAACAGTGCTCTTATTATATTTGCATATGACCTCCTACAAGATCAGCAAGATGTTTGTCTATACTCAACTTATTAAATCTCTTTAGTCTGCAGATAAGAGGTTGCTGTTAACTGTGTCTTAGAAACTTGACAAAAGGCACACTTTCTGCTGACTGTGCAAAACTCAACCAAGTTCAGAAGAAATATGTTGAGCTGGTGCACCAGTTGATGCTGTCAGTGCGCTCGAGGCCATTGGGAGCTACTGGCAAATCTGAAAATGCCTCCAGTGCATTCTTGCCAAGAATAGATGCAACACATCCTCGCTGTAAGTGCACGTCAGTGTTGGTGTTTTATTGTTAAAAGCCTAACACTGTATGACAAGGAAATGTGTGTGCATGAGTGTGTGAGAAAGAAAGGATGATATTGGTGGTACTAAATTCGTACCTCAGAGACTAGGCCGTTCAGTTGCTGTGAGAGCTGTCGCAGGCTCTCTGTGGAAGACAGTGGTCTGCAGGAGGAGAGACATAAATAATCAATCACACAATATAACTATGGGATTTATTATGTTGCATCAGTAATCAATAGCTAGAGTAGCGGGATATAATGGAGCCACAGCAGCATTGCTTATCAAACCTAATTCATCACAAATGTTATGTTTAAGTAGTCTCTAAGGAGCGGCACAAATATTGATTGTGCTGATGGTAGAATGACTTCACAGGGCGATCTGTTTCCAGAGGTTGTTTCCTGCCCTTGCAATCAATCTATATCGCCAAATTCTAAACATAGAGTGTTTAACTGCAGAAACATCATGTCTGTGCCATGACAGTGCAAAACCTTTGCAGCTGCTTCTTCTGTTACAACACTCATAGCCTGACCATATAAATCATTATGCAACATCTGTTCTGTGCATGGTGTGTTTTCTTAAAAAGATACAAGGGTGTCATGAGCAGTAAGGCATGAGGTAACCCACCTATTTTCTTCTGTTAAACTCTCATTGCCGTTGGTATCGGGATAGTCCTGCGGGAAGAGAGTAAGATTGAAAGAGGAAGAGATGGTGAGAATGTTAGACAGGCAAACAGGGAGAGAAGGAACACAGAAAATACAGTGAGAACATTAGAGAAAAATAATATGCACAATGCACATTATGCACATGACAACCAAACAAGGCAGGGGATCTGTTGTTTTCATAACACTATATCAGTCAAAATGCAGCAACTAGCAAATAAACCTTTTAGAGTCATTACGCTAGATGAAGGACATACAGAAGACAAGATATGATTTGAGAGATGGAGACAGACGAAGAGAGAGAATGACAGAAAGAGAGAGACACACCTGCAGGTCAGTGTTGTGACTGACAGACTCAGGGTTAGTAGCAGTGTTAGCACTAGCAGGGTTAGACACAGGTGAGCCACGGCCAGGCTCGCCCTTTGGGTCCTCCAGCAGCTGGGGAACTGAAGACCCGATGGCCTCCATGTCAGCAAAGGTCTGAGGTGACACATACACAAAAAAATGCACACACTGGTTTAATGCCAAGAAGAAGAGCAGTTATGATGAGAGAGCAACAGAAAGACAACAACAATATCTCGAACTGTATATGCCTTAACATGCGTGGAAATAACTTAATTACTGTGCTGACAATTGTAAGGCTATAGCTCAGTTGACTCAATTATGTCATTTACATGTCCAGATGAAAGCAGGATTTCCCACAGTCTAAGAGGACATAAGAATGTAAGACAGAGCACCTTAATGCAGGCTCTGTTACTTATGGGGATAGCTGTTGCAAGAAAGCTGTTGCTGCTGCTGCCACCCCAATTTTTCCCTCCACTGCTACCCATGGTACTCTCTGAAACGTTAGCAGAATGAAAGCGCTGAAATAACCCAGACTATGCTGTATGAATGCCAACATTAAATTGAATGACAAACAGCCCTTCTCTGTTGCACTAACTCTGACTTTGAAGCTAATGCAGCAAGACATTTGTAATAATCTGCAATAACAAAATAAAACTTTTAAAGGTGCATGTAAATCAGGCAGTGGAAAAAAAAACAGCAAACACAAAAGCAGCAATGAAAATACTGTTGAAAGTCAAACACATATATTTCATTTTCCCAGATGCATGCCTGCATGATGCACCCAGATGCAGATATCACAGCCATGCAACTACTGAGACTCATGCCACCCACTTTGCATACCCTGCCCATCCACACTCAACTTCAGCGTAAGATGGCGAAGCTAAAAACACTGGGATAAACTCAAAAAAGTGACCACACACCCTCCTTTTTTAACCATTAATGCACTCTCTTGTCATGGATTTAAAAGCACAGCACCAATGAAAGAATCTGCACTCAAATTCGTCCCATGCTTTCTGGTCTGCGTGACACAAAAGAATATCTGTGCACTTGACGTAAGAGAGAGGTAAGAATGTGAGAGCAAGATAACATTAAATACCTCATGAGGAGCTATTTACAGCAGAGGGATGCGACAGAGAAAAACAGGTAGGGCAGAAAAAAGAAAGAAGGGAGAGACAGAGGCTCACCTGACTGTTGCCATAAGGAGGTAGGACTACTCCATTGCTTTGACTAAGTGCTTTCAGAATACTGTCAAACTACAGGAAAGAAGAAACAAGGGTGGAAAATGAAAGAAATGGGACAGGGAAGAGATTGATTTAGAAAGTGACAGAGATATAGACAAACAGGTACAGAGAAGCAGTTGCCACTAGAAGGTCCTGAAGTGACTAGGGTGTGTAATGAGGAGAAACATTTGAAGCTTTTTATTTGACACTAATAATCAGAAAGACCCTAACCCAAAAAAATGACTCATGTAAAGAACACAACATCAAAATAACAGTGCAGGGGCAGCGCCTTTGTGTCCTAGTATAATCCCTGGCTACAGTTCCGTGGCTGCTTCAGCATCCTCTACAATCAGCTGTATAAACTAACACTCTAAACTTGCTCACATTTCCCTTTGCAAGCATTACCTAAGCTAGGTCATTAATTCTGTGCCTATTTACTCAACTTTGTTTTTAAAGCCAATTTGGACAGTGTAGTCTTTCTTATAGGGAAACTTTGGTATTTTTTCAAATTGGACCCCATTTTCGTGTCTAAGTGACAAATGGGAACAACAATTTTTGGAAGTGGTCCAGTATTGAGAGAATGCCTTTGAGGCCTACAGCCTCAAAATGGGCTGGAGTAACTGTTCAGGGCAGTATGACAACATTCATGTACAAACTAAATAAATCCAAATGTCAGCACTCACAATTATCATATATATCAGTCTTTTAATAACGCACAGCAGTATCACAAACGGACTCAGCGTTAATACACGGTGCATTAACGCTGAGGAAAGCCAAGTGCTGAAACGCGTCTGTTTGTGATACTGCTGTGCGTTATTAAAAGACTGATATATATGATATTTGTGAGTGCTGACATTTGGATTTATTTAGTTTGTGAGTTTTGGGTCGGCACTCTGTGATTTTTCAAACGGTGAGTCGAGCACGTCAATTCTTTTGTTTTTGTGAACATTCATGTACATCCTCTAAAAGTGCTTGTGTTTGCCACTGACTGACTCATTCTGTTGTTAAAAGTGTCTGACAACACTGTTAATATGTGTAACCAAGTCTTGCTCAAGGAGAGGTCTCCTTTTGAAATCTCGCAAGAGGTGACTTGTTGCAGGAAGACAACTGTGGAAAATGTTAGTGAGTGTTGAAGAAAGGAGTGCCGGGAAGAGTTTGTTGTGTCGGAGTACAGAAAGCATAGCTTGGTGCTGTCTACAAGATTTTCAATATCATGGCTAAATATTTAGCTGAGTTTGACAATGTGGAAACTTTTGCGAGATTTCAAAACGAGACTTCTCTTTGAGTGACACTTGGTTGGACACAATAATAAAGTGGATCAGGTGAGGGGTTAAAAAGGTGTATTTGTTTGTAGGGTCCTTTTCATCATGTTGTCAGACACTTAAAATAATAATCTGAGCCTGTCAGTGGCAAAACACTTTAAGTGTACACATACATAGTGCAGTAATACCCTGAGTGGTTACATTGCAGCCTGTTTGGCTGCTGCAGCTGCAGCACTCTCTCTCAATACTGGACTAATTAAAAAAAAAGGTCTCCATTAGTCACTTAGACACAAAAAAACGAGGAAATAGGATCCAGGTTAAAAAATATATAGAAGTTTCCCTTTACAGGCCAAAGGACTATGTTTGGGTAAAAAGCAGACAGAATTGTGTCTACTTGACATTAATTATCATCATGCATGGCACTTATTGAAAAATGTCTCCTCTGTTCTGACCCTTACAACTAAACTCCATTTTGTTATTGCCAGCATCACACTCAGATGTTCTGTCTCACCCTGCTTCAGAACACATGAGTGTATCCAGTGTTGGCCAACCAGAATCAAACACATTCAATCAAACATATTCAAGAGAACAAAATAGCATCAGACAAGCAACAAGACTCAACAGCAGAGTTGTGACGAGCCCAGATTCCAGTTGGGCTTAGAAAACTACTGACCGACATGGTCTGTGGAAAACTGACCTGAATGTCAGTCAGCCCTTGTGTGAGAAAGCTGTGTGCTTGAGTCACATGCCTGACTGTGAGTCCTCATGGGCACTCTCAAATTGCTTATGAGAGCTTTACGAAGGCCACACAGAAGTACACGGTGCTTGATATTTAAATGTAATAGTAGTGACAAGCAGCATATAAGCAAATTTAGAGTGTCAATGAGCTCTTACAGATAAGTATGTGACCTTGGTTTCGGCTGACTCTTTTTGTCCGTCTATTTATTCAGTGTTCAGTTTTCTAAAATCCAAGCCAAAACAAATGATCCAAGTATTACTTCTTGTTCAGAAAAGTCTAAATTATAATGTTAAAAACATCCTAGAGTGATTCACTGCTTCCGTGATCGTAATTATTTAATTATTACTTATCAAATATAGATATTACTGTTTTGATAAGGATCAGTCACGGTGCATCTGTCCACATTTTGTCCCTTAAATCAGAGCAGCATACAGGACTAAACAAGAGGCTATTAATAGAAGGAGAATAGAGAGAGGAGACAACACTTTAAAAGCACATACAATCTAAATAATAGGAATGTGTTTCTATAACATCTCTTATAAAATCCTATAAAATAAGACTGATATGACACAAACTAAAATGTAAAACTGATGGTCAGTTGACAAAGATACTTTCTCAAAATGCATGCTTATTAAACAAATGTGCTACAATTACATAAACACTCTAGTGTACTGTATGTGCAGGCCTTGACAAATGTTTATTCTACAATGTAGTTATCTATGAGTGCTTGAAATCCTCAGTACATTAACATAATACTTCAACCCTTGCTGCACTATCCCTCTGACCACGACAGTGCTCACTGTTATGGTCAGGGGCTAAGACTGTCTCAGTCTCGTGTCCTGTGTCATTTTTTATCTTAGGTAAACATTATTTTCACCCTGACACCTGGCCGTAGATATGTATCAGTACTGCTACTGTGTTACTGGCACTGTGTGCGTTAGATAGCGAGGAAGAGAGCATTTGCCAACTTGATAGTAATTGAGCCCTTTCATTTCACAAGCGGCAAAATAGTTTGTGATCAAAGGCCAAGCAGGCAATTCCAAATCATTACCATTTGAAGAAAACAAACAATAAAATGCCTTTGTCTACAAGCATGTGGATCTGTTTCATCAGGTATATACTGCTCTGTCATCCCACAGTTACCATAAAACTGTACTTACTGAAATGTTGCAGACCGTATGTTTATAACATGTACACACACAAAACAGTGAATGTTGTCTGTCTATTACAAACCACCAACCTAACAGTGATTTTAAATGCTTTCTAATGCAGTAACAGTGTTTAAAATATGAATAGGAAAAACCAGTAATCCAAATTAAAATCACAGGGTCACAGTAGGTTTGAGAAACCAGATCTAACAGGGACACAAAAGGACTGTCAAATGCAAAGAGGGGTTGTTATTTGACCAGCAAGGGCAGTAAGACAAGCAGATGCATAAATGGAAAGAGGGACTGACTTACATTGTCTGGGGAGTTTCTGTCTGATGAAGGTGCATCATTTTGGCTCTGTCCCTTCACCTTCCTCTTCTTCTTGGCCCCTGCTCCACCACCACCTCCTCCACCACCCTTTTCTCCTCCCACACCAGCAGGGGAGGTCTTCTGCTGAAACTCCTTCAGCTGAGCAGCACATAAGAAAAGAAAACAATAGGTATAATTGCCAGAAGGCAAACTCATCTGCTGCCTATACTTTATTTTCTTACATCTTACAAATCCTGCAGGAGCCTTATACAAGTCTACTTAACTTTGCACCAGCTAGAGGCACCACTCAGAACAAGTGATCTCTAACCACTGGGGGAACTTACCAATGTTACTGAATAAGAACAGGTGAATGAAGCAGGGATGGACCACTCCCATGATACTCAAAAGATCCGGTTTCAAATGTAGACTTAAATACATAGCTACTGCCAACAAGTTACTGACTGTCACTTTGCCTTGCTTGTTCAAGGACTTATTGTTCTAAAACAAACATGATGAAGTTGATAACTTGAGGGCAAACTATGATCATGTATGTCTGTATACTTTACCCAAGCGACTGTAAAACACTCTTCCCCCTGTCTGCGTGTTTGGGCATGGTGCCTGGTGACAGCTGTCGCGGGGGGCCAAAGGGAATCATAGGGGAACTACAGGAGCTGCCATTTCTAAAATCCTGGGGTTGAATCGCAGCGAAATGTCAAGTGTTATCGCCACGACCACTCATCCACGAAGACAGTAGGGCAGCGAGGAATGCTGACGAGTCATTTCCTGAAGCTAACATTTCACAGCTGATAGGGCCATCTTTCTCACTACCCCAACACACCTAGCTGTAGCACCCAGCAGGACAGGGAAGAGGGGTGTCAGCTGTCAAAACAGTCCCCGTCATTCTGTCCTGCTAACTGTGCTACAAAGCTAGCTCAGCGTTAGTTTTAAAACTGCTGTTTGTTGACCATCCCCAGACATAATTGAGCCGTTCAAGAGATAACACAGACAGCTGCCCGACTGCGGTGTAGCATTCTATGCACTCACACATAGCCAACTATTCATTAGTTAGCCCGCCTGCTAATGCTAACTTGCCATACTTAGCTAGCACGTTAAGATTTGCTAATAACCACATTTAACGTTAGCTAGAAAGACACATGAAGCCACCGGGCAAAGAGAGTAAGTTTAGTCACCCACTGACTAACTAAACTGCGTAGGATGCTACAAACGCCTCCGGGAACTAAAAATAGTCTGCATAATCTGGGAAAGTTAATGCTATCAGCAGAGGCCCAGAAGAAGCACCGACCTCTCCTGTGCATCGAAGACCCGAGAGGAGCAAGTGAGGCGGGACAAGCGACAGCGCAGAGGTCGGGCGACGTGTAATGACAACACCCCTGCTCCGTGAAGAAATGTGTAACAAAACCAAAGAAAACACCTGCAACGCAAACCCACAAAAGAGAGACAGGACCAGCGCTTCCTATGATATATAACCGGGTCAGTTGTACAATACTTTACCTTTTTCTTAGCTGCAGCGAGTTTTATTTGCCTGCTCTGGTCGGCCATACTGCTGCTCTGGTCAACGGACCGAACCACGTCATCAGTTTGGTGTCTATTGGTGTCTCCGCCGGTAGGAGTCGCTGGGCTCAGGCTGTGTTACCCTACTCCCCCACGTACCAAAAAAACCTACAGATACTAGTTAGAGACAAACCCAATCTATTAATTGTTTGGTGGTATTTAAATTTACAAACCCCTGTTTTATTAATTGAATGAAATGTTAGGTGTCAGATACTGTCAAAAATGTATACAATAAAATTTACTTTATGTGACTTGTCTTCACTATTACTTGTTACTCTTCTTTGCTTTGTCTGATCTGTCACACTATAGTTTATGTTCTTATAAGCTTAACATCTTCAACTAATAAGAAGGGAAAGTGGAGAGTTATCCTTATTTTGTTTTTCAGAAATGTATATCTATTTTCGTTTCATTTTGCTTCTTGTAATATGTTAATATGTTAATTTATGCAGTACTGCACATCATGCATACCGTGGCAGTCTATCTCACGGTTAATGCAGATGAACAGATAAACACTTTGGCATTTATATATACATATATAAATAATATACTGATTTAAATAATATACTGATAAAAATAATATATAATGAAATCATTGGTATTTGTAAGAATAAATTTGCAGGTATTGAAATAAAATGACATGCATTTACACAACCACAGGTATCTACCAAGTAGGTATTTTTATGAAAGTTGTTGTTGTAAAATAAATACATCAGCGTCAATGAGGAGAGACAAATCTATGCACATTTTTTCTCTTCATACATGGAAAATATGTCAGAAAAAAGTTATCTTATTATGTTAACTGTGTAAGGAAGGGAAGAAAGGAAGGTAAGAAATTCAGAAGTGAATATAGTTGGGTTTGTGGCATTCAGCCTGCAGTGTCATAGTTCCTACCTCTAGTTTAGGGAGAAGAAAATATGAAAACAAGAAATAGCCTGATTGTTAGGCTATCTGACAATACAGAGCCAGTGACCTTGAAAAAAGTTAAAAATGTAGTACAAGAAATATCTGTGAGCCAGAGTGCACGTGATCTATTGCTTTCTCTGGACTTGAGTCAACTTTGAAGACATGATTATATTTAACTTTTAAGTCTACATGTGCAATAATAACTGAATCTATGTAATTATTGCCACGTGAGGTCTATATAGGCTAGAAAACATGTCAAAACAAGAAAGACTCTCAAATGAATAAAAATAATCATTCAGATATGTGAAGACATGTCAGAAGCCACGATTTTGTTTAAGCTTTGCTTGGACACCACTCCAAGTGTCCGACAACCAGCTCTTAGCTGGACACCTTCATGCTTACATTTGTAGCCTGTCAAAAAATCTTACTCCCCCCTCCCCCTTGCAGAAGGAAAGACCAGTTGGTGCACAAGAATCCCTCTGAAGACACGCTAGGCTACAATTCTGCCTTCTTTTAAGTCTGACTCAAAGCACTCAAACCACACAGGGACTAGAGAAGACCTTCCAGCAGGGATACTCAACCTGCTCTGCCTGGGTGCCATTTTGCGAGATGACAGGAGGCCAGGGGCCAGTTACAGAAGCCCCACATATGTACAAAGGGGCGTGTTTGGGATTTGAGACATTCAGGGCTTAGCATGGACCTCTGTCATGGGGTCCATGGGATCCTCCCATGGCACTATATTTAATAAAAATAGCTCTAATTTGATGAGTTTTCATGCACTTTTGCACCTTGTGTAAATCAAAAGTCCAAAAACATTCTCAGTGTGACTCAGTTTAATTTCATTGTGAATTTTTAAAAGATTGAGGGCCACCTGGCATCCTATCGGGGGCCAGATTTGGCCCACGGGTCATAAATTTAGTACCACTGCCTTATAGCCTGGGTATAGATTCAGTAGCCTCTGAGGAAGAGGCCACTTAGGAACTGTTTACCAAAACAAACAAATATATAATTCTCACAGACAATATTATCTAAACTGTCTTGTGTATTATATTTTTTTCCCTACAAATGCAGTGTTTGCCTTATTCTGTCTTGTTCAAATAAAAAAAGAGACTTTGTGTAAGTGAATTAATGTCACCCAATTTGCAGATTGTTTTTTAATTTTAACTTTGTTTCTCATATTTCGTCTGACATACCAAGTTATAATGATGGCTCTGCCTGCAACTACAACAGAAGACAGCCGTGTTTGTTTAAAATGCACAGGTGAACATTTTAATGAAGACAAAACACATCTGAGTCTCTTTTGTTTGCACAGAAATTAGTATTTGCACATTAAATCTTGGACCCTATCACTTTATTCAGCATATAGCTGTTTCATGCAATGCCTTCATCTGAAGCGAGCTTATATTTATGTGTTTGTCCCTGTCATCTGTCAAACAGGGGTATCATACGTACTTTAGTTCATGGGCCACATACAGCCAAATTTGAACTCAAGTGGGCCTGACCAGTGAAATCACTGCGTAATAACCTATAAATAACAACACCTCCAAGTTTTTCTCTTTCTTTTAGTATAAAGAAGTAGGCTAGATTCTGAAAATGTTCATCCATTTACAAATCAGATCCTGAAATGTCTTATGAACAATCTGTGCAATTTCAACATTATGTCTCAGTTTTTCCACATTGAGTGTTCCCTCAATATTGTTTTAAGATAGAAATCTGAAAAGGATTCTTCTGTACTGAAACTGCTGATTGACAATATTTTGCACATTGTTCAATATTTTTAAATGTAATCACAATAAATATTCATTGTTCTTCTTTTCAGAGAACTGTATTCTGGTTAGGATGGAAAAGCCTCTGAAGCCACACTTTACATGAAGTAGGCTACTTACTGTTTAAATTGTTTCTGAAACCTGGCACCTCTTTGCTTTCACAAGTGTATCAATATTAGCTCAAGGAGATTCAAAATAACCACTAAAAGGGCAGCCAATCAAAAACACAGATAAAATGAATAAAAAATACAAAATTACATTAAAAAACACAAAAAGAGAGAGGCAAAGTCATCACAAAGTGTGTGTGTGTGTGTGTGTGTGTGTGTGTGTGTGTGTGCGCGTGTGTGTGTGTATATGTTCCCTGTCTTGTGTAGGACAGGTGGTGGGGCCTTTTTCAAATCTCAGCCCAGGGGCCCATTGTCACATGGTACGCCCATTCCCCTGATTGTTGCATTATGTAACTGTGTGTTTTATGATGATTGTATCTGTCCTGAATGGCTGCAACCAAATGCCCTTATAGTGGGATAATAAAGTTTGACTTGACTTGACTTCTACTTACAGTACTTTCTTGTTAATTCCAAATACAGTCATACTTTGGTTGGCATTAGTAGGCTACACATTTGAAAGGGTTCATATAGACTGAACAGTGGCTTTGGCAACCTGTTACCTAACCTTGACCTGTTTAATTTTGAGATAGGACACTGTACAAGACAGTGCCATGTAGTTTTGTTTGATGTATGTTCAAACCTGCTTTAATGTACACATCGTACATCTGTCATCATTGTGTGATCACTGAGATTGGAAGTGCCCATGTTAAAACTTGATGGTCAAATTATTGCAGGCTGCTTGCATTTCAAGGTGGATGTCCTTAGCTATAATTGCGAGTGTGTACATTCACTGATGAAATATCCAGACAGTGGAGTTCATCTGATGTAACAACATTTGCTTTTAGGTCACATGCATATAACACAGGGTGTTCACATGTATTTGTCATCGTTGTGAGTCATCATTGTTTATCATGATACCAACACACAGTTATAAAGAATGAATGTCATTTCAGCACATGTGGGGTCATTCCCGGTATTTAAAAAACACAGCACCAACTTCAATTGTACAAAATGTGAAAATGCACCCTTCCTCAGTCAGTAGAGTGGCGTTTCATTGCTCCAACTGTGCTCATGAATGCGCTTGACAGACAGCCAATAGGCATCGGTACAGTGGGCAAAAGTCGTGACGTTGCCTCTACCCGATATGTGCAAATCAGCGGCGGACAGCGTGCTGGAAGGAACCAATCAGCGCGTTCCAACGAACAGCTGCTCAGCCAATCGCGGGCCTCCACGACGGGGAAGAAGTGACGGCTTATATATGGAGAGAGCACACTTCATTCAACATCATTACACAGAGGCAAGAACAGAGAATAGGTTGAAAAAAGAAAGCTACATTTTGAAATAAGAGGCTACCGGTTGAGGCGACTTCAAGGCCGCTAATTCATTGACAATATTGGGATTGAGGTACGTAGAAACATTGCTATGAATATGAGAATGCGACAACGTAATACTTTGTATTTTCTACAACGTTGGACCTCATTTTAAGTCATTATGGTGAAGCCAGCTAAGCTAACTTTTGATGAAAATGAGGCATTTACCCGAAGTTTACGACAGCTTTTTAAAACAGAAGGGCAGTCAATGTGGTTGTAATATATCATGCAATCAATAACGTATTTTTTGGTGCTCTGTATGGCAAAGTATTTTCCCTCGCATGTCTGCTAGCCACGCTAACGTGGTTAGCTAGCTACCGGCGGATGGAGAAAAAAAAATCTTGTCAGTGGCATTAGCTGGCATTCAGAGAAGGCAGTGGGGCTCCACCCATGTTCCTTTAACGCCTCTGAATATGAATGAATATTTTCCGGAGATTTCTTGTTAGAAGCCACGCTTGCCATCAATCATGGGTCTGATTCCCTTCAAATGACATCCAGCATTAACGCAACCGTTAGCTTTCTGCTAAGTTATCTGAACTTGGGAGGCAGGGAGTCCACGCCATACACGCAAGGCCACATTTTTACATTGTGTTTCCTCTCTCCAGATTTTCTCTGTAGAGCTGAATTAAAACAAGCAAAGATGAAGCTGTTGTGGGTTGTAATGCTGGTGGCCGGCACTGTGATTGCCGATGACGACGACAAGAAGGAGAGTGTGGGGACTGTGATTGGAATCGACCTGGGGACCACCTACTCATGGTAAGACAATAAAGTGACACCTGTCTTAGTTGTTTAAAAGACACTGTAATGACACATCTTGTGAATTTTAAATTTAAATAGGTGCCTTTTCAGTAATAATGTCTAATTTGTATTTTTCTGTAGTGTTGGAGTGTTCAAGAATGGCCGTGTGGAGATCATCGCCAATGACCAGGGTAACCGCATCACCCCATCATACGTTGCCTTCACCAGCGAGGGTGAGCGTCTGATTGGTGATGCTGCGAAGAATCAGCTGACTTCTAACCCTGAGAACACTGTCTTTGATGCCAAGAGATTGATTGGACGCACTTGGGCTGACTCCTCTGTGCAGCAGGACATCAAGTACCTTCCCTTCAAGGTAAGTTTTTACTCTTGACAGTGGGAAGTAAAAGTAAAAGTGAAAGTTTTGGGGTCTAAAGGTAATGTTTGAGCAACATTATTAGTATGTTAATATTGATGAATGTTTCTCTGCAGGTTACTGAGAAGAAGAGCAAGCCTCATATTCAGGTCGACATCGGTGGTGGCCAGATGAAGACATTTGCTCCAGAGGAGATCTCTGCCATGGTGCTGACTAAGATGAAGGAGACCGCTGAGGCTTATCTGGGAAAGAAGGTACAACAAATGTTAAAGAAAATGCATCAGAAGGTATACCACTCCTAAATAAATGACGTATAATTGAATCTAATGTTTTTATCTAATCCCCAGGTCACACACGCTGTGGTCACTGTCCCCGCCTACTTCAATGATGCCCAGCGTCAAGCCACAAAGGATGCTGGAACCATCGCTGGTCTGATTGTGATGAGAATCATCAATGAGCCGTAAGTGTCTAATGAAAATAATTCATTCATCTGTTGCCTTTTTGAAATTGTGAAGATATTTCCCACCCTTTCTCTTTAATCATATATTCTCATATCGTTATTCTCTAGTACTGCTGCTGCCATTGCTTATGGTCTGGACAAGAAGGACGGTGAGAAGAACATTCTTGTGTTCGATCTGGGTGGTGGAACCTTTGATGTCTCCCTTCTGACCATCGACAACGGTGTGTTTGAAGTGGTGGCTACCAACGGTGACACTCATCTGGGAGGTGAAGACTTCGACCAGCGTGTCATGGAGCACTTCATCAAGCTGTACAAGAAGAAGACTGGCAAAGATGTGCGCAAAGACAACCGTGCTGTGCAGAAGCTGCGTCGGGAGGTTGAGAAGGCAAAGAGGGCACTGTCTGCTCAGCACCAGGCCCGCATTGAGATCGAGTCCTTCTTTGAGGGAGAAGACTTCTCTGAGACCCTGACCCGTGCCAAGTTTGAAGAGCTCAACATGGTAAGTTAATACAACCTATCAGTTCAGATGTGTGAGCACAATGACTACCAAAACAAACCTGTTTTCATAAAACCTTATGTGACAAGCCTTGTAACCATGTCTTTTACTTTATCAGGACCTGTTCCGTTCCACCATGAAGCCTGTACAGAAGGTGCTGGAAGACTCTGACCTGAAGAAGTCTGACATCGATGAGATTGTCCTGGTCGGAGGCTCAACCCGTATCCCCAAAATCCAGCAGCTGGTGAAGGAGTTCTTCAATGGCAAAGAGCCCTCTAGGGGCATCAACCCAGATGAGGCTGTGGCATACGGAGCTGCTGTGCAGGCGGGAGTGCTTTCTGGAGAGGAGGACACTGGTAGGTCATCTCTCTCTCCTACACTGTAGTATTTGTTAGGCCGAACAGAGCTTGCAAATTTTATCTTGATTACTAAAAATTTTCCTCTCTTGCAGGTGATGTGGTTCTTCTGGATGTGTGCCCCCTGACTCTTGGTATTGAGACCGTTGGAGGAGTAATGACCAAGCTGATCCCCAGGAACACTGTGGTGCCCACAAAGAAGTCCCAGATCTTCTCTACAGCTTCTGATAACCAGCCTACTGTCACCATTAAGGTTTATGAAGGTAAGAGTTGAACAGAGTGAACTTGCCAAACATAAATTAAAAAAATAAATTTTGAACATTTATAATTCTTTGTATTCAGACAGAAAATTAAATTCTTAATCATTGATTCTCGCTTCAGGTGAGCGTCCTCTGACTAAAGACAACCATCTGCTGGGCACATTCGACCTGACTGGCATCCCCCCTGCCCCCCGTGGCGTACCACAGATTGAGGTCACCTTCGAGATCGATGTCAACGGTATTCTGCGTGTCACTGCTGAGGACAAAGGCACAGGCAACAAGAACAAGATCACAATCACAAATGACCAGAACCGCCTGACCCCTGAGGACATCGAGCGCATGGTAAACGACGCCGAGCGCTTTGCCGACGAGGACAAGAAGCTGAAGGAGAGGATCGACGCCCGCAACGAGCTGGAGAGCTACGCCTACTCTCTGAAGAACCAGATCGGCGACAAGGAGAAGCTTGGCGGCAAGCTGTCGGATGAGGACAAGGAAGCCATTGAGAAGGCAGTAGAGGAGAAGATTGAGTGGATGGAGTCACACCAGGATGCTGATCTGGAAGATTTCCAGGCAAAGAAGAAGGAGCTGGAGGAGGTGGTTCAGCCCATCATCAGCAAGCTTTATGGTAGCGCAGGCGGACCCCCACCTGAGGGAGCGGAAGGCGAGCAAGAGGAGAAGGATGAATTGTAGGCAGGTTCAAAGTCAACTCATCTGTCGCCCCTTGCCTCTCTGGTAGTTGCATCTAGATGTATATATTGGACTGATGGGACTCAAATAGTGAGAGGAATGGTTGGGAAGGGGTGGCGATAACAAGCAACCATACTGAATCTTTCGAAAGACTTTAAAATTAAGTTTCAGTGTGTGAGAGGTGTTCTCTTCGCTGGAAGGTGGAGATATTCGTCAGCCCGGATATGAGGCTTGCTGCTGCTGTTCTCAGGCAGTCCTGTTGGGGTTCTGTAGTGGGGAGGGACTTAGTGGGCGGGCTCGGGGTGGGGCAGGTGTTTGTGGGTCCTTTGAGTGGGGTGTCTGTGGAATCAAGAGCTTGTTATGTTCACAGGCAATGCTAAAAGTTATTTATTGAATCTGGTCATTGTACTTCTGGAAAGACATTAAAATAAATGTTTGATACAAAATGTGAATTAATTTGTCTTGTTACATTTTTTGTTTGTAATTTCAGGGTTCATTAGACAGACTACTAAAAATTTTGATAAAAGAAATTTATTATATTAGGATAAACCCCTTGAGATGCATCATCTTGTTTTCAACGGGTCCCAAAATACTGGTATCCAATATTCAAATCACCCAGATTTATGCTTCAGAACTCTAGTAAAGTTGCTTATTAATGTTCATTTCACTATCATAAGTACATGTTCAAAAAAAACCCCCAACTGATCCAGTTTCGGGTTTTTTAAATAAAATAACAAATACAAGTAGTACTTCACAAACATTTTATTACAACTAAATGACTATTTCAACATCAAGACACCACAGTCACAATACAGTCATTATGAATGACACCCTGAGTGTCCATTCCTCCAAATACAAAGGCTAGATTTATTGTCTCTGAGCCTGCTGGGCTGTTGGCTTGTTCCTCTTCTCCATTCCCCTCACCACGCACCTTCCATGGCAATAAACACATAGAATGGTCCAGGCGGTTGGGTGGCATATCCCCTTCAAACTTCATGAGGACCCACCTACTTTTATCTACAAACAGGAAGTATAACACAAAAGTTTGTTACACTTTCATTATGAACAGAATTGCACCACAGCAGTCATTGAGTCATAGATGTAGTAATAAAGTGTTTCATATGACATTAAGTATGAATATTCTGTCACATACTGCTAGGGCAGTTCTGAAAAGATACATACCTGTGTTGAATCTGTACATGGAGTTGCCGGCTCCATCTGCAGTCATCCCCCCAAAAATGTAGATGCTCTTGCCCAGCACCAGGGCTGAGTGGGCTGCTACTCCTGGTGGAATGTCTCCTTTAGCCTGCACCTTCTCCCACTTCATGCTGCCTTTAAACAGTAGACACATGGTTTTATTTCAAACAAAGCAAGCTTGGCATTCCCAAGTTCTAAGGCTTCACATTTTCATGCAGTATGATGATCTGAGATAGAAGCAGCTGGGAAATAGATCAATTTGGATCCTCTTATTATGATTCAGGAGAGTTCAGGCTTACTTACTTGTGTCAAGAGAGAACATATCCTTGTAGAATTTTTCTCCAGCCATTCCTCCATGAATGTAGATCTTTGAACCCACTGCTACGACAACGTGGCCGTGTCTGGCCGGCGGGTTTCTGCCTTGTGTTTCTGGCTGGGACCAGGTGGAGGACACTGGGGACATAAAAAGGTAAAAGCTATCACATATTTAGTTATTGCTGACATCATGACATGCAGCAAGCTGAGGGTGGCGGACGCCAACAGACTCAACAAACTGTTGTGGGAACGGAGTGTGACTCTCTGATGGTGGTGTCGGAGAGGAGGATGCTGTCTAAACAAAGAACTATCTTGGACAATGTCTCACACCCACTCCACCATGTGCTGGTCAGGCACAAGAGTACTTTCAGTGGGAGACTCATACCACCAAGATGTACCACTGAGCGCCACAGGAAATCATTCCTGCC